TCATTTCTTTACAGAGAGGAAGGGAGAGGGGTAGAGAGTTAGAAACATCGATGAGGGAGAAGCATCGATCAGCTGCCTCCTGCACACCTCCTACTGAGGATGTGGCCGCAACCCAGGTACATGCCCTTGACCGGAATTGAACCTGGGACCCTTCAGTCCGCAAGCCGACGCTCCATCCACTGAGCCAAACCGGTTTCGGCCCAAATGGTTCTTTTAAAAGCTCATCCATGAATACAGGCGTGGCAGTTTGGTCACTAAACAATCAGCCAATGTGGAAAGCACTGACCTCAGTAGGGGAAAAATGAGTGAAAAAATGAAAAGCTCCCAACACTAAAACCTGGCATGAATGTAGAGCAACAGAAGTGTTCATTCATTGATGGTGGGAATGCAAAATGGTGCAGCCACTTTGGAAGACAGTTTGGTAATTTGCTACAAAATTAAAGATATTCTTAACATACAATCTAGCAATTGCACTCCTTAGTGTTTGCCCAAATGAGGTTGAAAAAGTATGTCCATACAAAAACATACACTTCTATATTGTGTGTCTAGATCTGAAATTTGATAACAAATCAATACCTTTCCCTGTGCAGAAAGCAACCAAAATATCCTTCAATAGGTGAATGGATAAACAAACTATCGTCCATTCACACAACTGAATATTATTCAGTGCCAAAAAGTAAATAAGTTATCAAGCCACCCAAAGACATGGAGGAACCTTAAATGCACACTACTAAGGGAAAGTAGCCAATTTGAAAAAGCTAGATACTATATGATTTCAAGTATAAGACACTTTGAAAAATGCAAAACTATTGAGGCAGTGAAATGATCGGTGGTTGCCAGGGTTTCAGAATAGGGAGGATGAATGGGCAGAGCACAGAGCGTTTGGGGGGCAGGTAAACTTTTCTATATGATATTCTATGACTATGGTCCATGTCATTATACATTTATCAAAATCATAGACCATACAACACCGAGACTGAACCCTTATACAAACGATGGACTTTGGGTGATAATGTTGTGCCAATGTTGGTTCAACAGACTGTAACAAATGTAATAGTTGGTGGGAGATGTTGATAGAGGAGGGGGCTGTGAGTAGATGGAGGAGGATTCTGTATTTTCCACTCCATTTTGCTGTGAACCTAAAATGCTATCACAAATAAAGTCCATGTATTTAAAACAGAATAAGAAAGACAAAGGGCCGAAACCAGTTTGGCTCAGTGGATAGAGTGTCGGCCTGTGGACTGAAAGGTCCCAGATTAGATTCCGGTCAAGGGCATGTACCTGGGTTGCGGACACATCCCCAGTAGGAGATGTGCAGGAGGCGGCTGATCGATGTTTCTCTCCCATCGATGTTTCTAACGCTCTATCTCTCTCCCTTCCTCTCTGTAAAAAATCAATAAAAATATATTTTAAAAAAAAGACAAAGAAAAGGAAAGAGAAAAGAGCTCTTTTTCTAAGAGAAATTACTGGTAAGAGATAAATTGTTTAGAGAAGATTGTGACCCTCACCTGAGACACAGAGGCTTAGTCCGACCACAGAGATCAAAAGGCCCAGCACCTGAATGATCAATAGGATGATATTGATGGGGAGCATCCCAATAGCTGGAGCTGCAAGGAAAAAGCATGTTACACATGTTTAAGAAGCAATCACTTCCACTTGTATTTCGTACAGTCAAGGTCAGTATCCTAGGACCGAAGACTGACTCTGAGTCCGTGTCAGGTGGTGGCTGCTTTCCCAGTGACCTAAGCCATCTCTCTCCACTCCAGGAGTCAGCTCCACATTCACACCCTCAGTAGCCTTTCATTTCTGCAGGGAGCTGAGCTGCATTGGCAGTTTTTACCCCAAATCTTAGAACAATGCTGCTTTTACCACACGTGGGTATTTTACAATAAGAGTGGCTGTTAGCAGGGCATCACTACATACTCACAAAATCACTCTGGTGGAGAACCATTGGGCAAGCTTGCCATTGTAGACATCATAATCGCTAATTGTGGTTTTAGAACAAATTAGTACCATCTTAATATATAACAACCCAGAGATAGGCTCTCATACCAAGAGTTAAATGTGCTAATGGAAAAAATAGATTCTTTAATATTAAAAATATTTAGTGATTTAACCCAAAAATGGAGTGAAAAATGTTAGTAATTATAGGTTGGATAATCATAAGGTATAACTTTTAAAACTCAATGTTAATACTTGCAATAACTCTTTATGATTTATAACCCAATTTTGTATAACTAGTTTTTTAAAGAGAGTTTTAGCAAAAGAATGAGAATGTTTAATATTTACTTATAACTTCAAAATCTGAAATAAGAATATGAAGATCATCATTAAGAAATTATATAGTATGATTTTAAAAATCCATTGGCTGGCATTAAATATGTCTCTGAAAATCACTTTTTATAAAATAACTATGTTAAAAACCTAATATAACATTAAAATTAATCCATTTTGGGGAAAATTTTCACTAAGAATATCTAGGGAGATAAACCAATCCTTATTGTATTATTAAAAAAACATGCAAGAATTATTTCAATAAAAAATGTTGCTTTTTAAATCAAAAAGGGCACAATCATGCTAAAACAATAAATACTTACCTATCATAAACATTGAGATCTGAAGTAATATTAGTATTACTGTAGAAACTACAATTAAACCAAGTCCACTGGCCCTCTTTGTTGAATATTCACCTGTTGATAAATAAAATTAATGTTTAAAATATTTTCCTACATACTTTCTACTCTGTGGGAAATAAAAGTACTTAATTTATTAAATGTATTCATCTCAATACTACTCTTATAAACTGAAAATGTTTAAAAATAAATGCTTCCTCTAAAACCTCACAAAAAATACGTGACAATTTTTTTTTTATTTAAGACCAAGCTGAAGACATCTAAATGTCAACATCTAAGTCTCAACAAGTCAAAACCTTCAATTGGCTTTTCCTCCTTCTTAACTACCTTGGAGCCTCTTACCAATCACTTCATTTGCTATATTCAATCTGTTCCAAAGTCAAAATAGCTATTCTTTGTAGCTGTCTTCTTAATTCATCTCTTTCCTCACCACACCCTCACTAACTTCAGCTGCAAAGAGAGCTGCCAAATTTCTGTTCCTAAACATTACACCCATATTTTATTCTGTTAATAATACAAAGGTTTTCTACTATCTACACTTTGAGTCCCAGCCTATCCCTGCTGTTCTTTCCATGTGCTGCATACCCTTATTTCCGAATCCCATTACCATCCCCCAAAAGGCAAATGCAGTTTCAGATTGATTTGTTTCCCGTGTTCATTCCCACTTTCATGTCTTGCCTGATGAAGTTTGCCTTTGCAGTGGGTTAAATGGTGGCTCCAAACATAAGCCTACCTCCTATTTCCCGGAAGCTGTGAAAATTAATTTATGCAGCCAAAGCAGACCATTACATTATATGATTTAGTTTAGGTTCTTGGAAGAAGGAATTTATCCTAGATTAACGAGGTGGGGCCTAAATTCAATGATAAGTGTCTTTGGAAGAGAGATGCACAGGAGTTTTAAGAGTGGAATTTGAGTTACGCTGCCACAAGCCAAGGAGTTGCAAGTTGCCAGCAAACAACACACAAAGAATTCCATGAACTCAATCTCAAGAAGTGAAGCCATTTCTGTAACTTAAAAAGTGCAGACACAAACTGATAACTTCCTATAATTGAACAACCTTTGAGAAATAACTCAGTTGTATCATGTGCAGCCATCTCGTCTTTTTCATAAGTCCATCAATGACTAAATAGTGTCACAGCCATATAAATATGGATGCTGAATTTACGGATGATGCTTTTATTATCTTACAATTTAAAGATGAAGTCATATAAACCATGCTTTCTCAATTGGGGCATTATTAACATTAGGGCCAGATAAATCTTTATGGTGGGAGGGGGCTGCTCTGCACATTTAGAAGGTTTAGTAGCATCCCTGCCTCCCTCCAAACTGCTTACCTGTAACAGCCCCAGTTGTATCAATTGTGAAATGTCCCCTGAGGAGTAAAACTGCTTCAGCCTTACAGCTGATATAGATAATGCTGATGGGAAATAACTGGCTAATTGGTAATACTGAGAAAAAGAGAACTTTGTTCCACCTTACATAAAATGATAAACATCTGGAAATCTAGATATTTTATTTTGAAAAACTAGAATAAAATTGGACTAATCACACCCACTTGATATCCTGAAGGAAGGGAATGCTTAAATGGTCCAATTAAAATCTCTCTCTATAAAACCCTAATATGCAAATAGACCAAATGGCAGAACAACCAAACAACTGGTCACTATGAAGTGCTGAACACCAGGGGGCATGTGTGGAAGATGGTGGGGATAGGCAGCAGGTGGCAGAGCACAGAACATGTCGGGCATTGGCTGTGTCATGATGGTGGAGCAGGTGAGCGGGGATGCCAGACCAAGGTGGGGCACTGGTCACTGTCATTGGGGCAAGCCTCTGATGGTTACTGAAAATTCTTTGCTCCCGCACCACGGTCCCGCCAGGTGCTTGCACCTGCTCTCCGCGCCTGAGCTGCCATTCATATTTGCTGCCAGCGCCTGATGCTAACCCCAATCGCTCAGCGCCATGAATGGGTGCAAGTGGTGGCTGCAGGCCCCGATCGCTCCCCAGGGCTTCTCTGCCTCCCCTCGTTTGAGGGGTGATCGGGACTGGCAGCCACCACTGCAGGGACTGCCAGAGCAGCCCCACTCGCACCTGCAGCCTGCGCCAGAACCGCTACTAGCATCCGCAGCCGGGTCCCAGCTCCATTCCTGATCGCTTGGCACTGTCAGCGGGTATGAGTGGTGGCTACTGCCCCAGTCACCCGCTGAAGGCTCCTCCACCTCCCTCTGCTCCTGAGGGGTGATCAGGGCAGCAGCCACCGCTTGCACTCGCTGACAGTGTGGAGTGATTGGGGCCAGCGCCAGCAGTGGATGTGAGTGGGGCTACTGGTAGACAAGGGACCAGGAAGGGCCAGGCAGGGGCACAGAAGATGTGCTGAGACCTGCCCCTATACCCACCGCAGCCTAGCAGCCCACAGTTTCTTTCAAGGTGCACAAATTTGCGCACTAGGCCCCTAGTAATTTCTTAAAAATAAACTACAAATATTCAACAGGACTCATTAGCCCTATTTTCAAGTACCTGGTACCTTATGAAAAGAATAATCTAATGGATATGTCTAAAAATATTATTTCTGTTACTATATCTTCACCTTAGGGGTTTTGTTTTGATTAATTGTAAAATTAACTTTTTACCATAAAAATTGTTCAAAGTAACCTAAAAGCAGACTGAGTAGCAGAGAGAAACAGTGCATGACTGAAATTCTATTTTGTTTTATCCAGGCCATTAAATAATATCCTGATAGGGCAATTTTTTAAAATGTTATATTTAGCATTAAATCCACTAAAATGACGGATTAAATACAGTAAGAACAACAAATAGTCCCCTAAATGACCATGCTAACAACTATTTTAAGGTATTATAACCAAGGGTTATATGATAACCTATGGCACCTGAAACACTACTTATTCATACTTTAGATTGTAAACCTCCACTTTATTCTCATTAGGGGGGATGGAGAGGTAAACAATCATCAGTCCTGAAGCTGAGTAACTGAAATCCACATTAATCAGCAAAGAGTGAAAAACAGTATGGCAAATTCCCCAAGCTTTCATTTGATCCATCCAGGCTTGGAACTTACCCCTCAGTTGCATAAGTTGTGACCATGACTCAGTCATGTCCCTGACTTAGAATAGGGCACAGATTCCCTATTTTCTAGACTCAAACACTAGTGAGGATAAAATTCAGTGCATAGGTTACAAAAGGCACAGACACAGATAAAAAAATAAACTTTCCAGTGGTTCTCAATGCCATGACCCTAATGCCGCGACCCTTTAATACAGTTCCTCATGTTGTGATGACCCCTAACCACAAAATTATTTGATACTCATATAAAATTCAACCTCTTCAGGCTTAGAAGAGTTATGGGAGAAAAATAATACCAACAGTAACAACAAAAATAAAACACCATATAATACTATGATTGACAGTGTTTTACTATAGAACAACCTTTTCAAAACCTTTGCATATAAATATTGGAGGTAGTTTTAGTTTCTGTTGATGTGTTCAACAACTAAATATTTTCAAGGCTACTTCCAACTCCCATAAGTTAAGCAACTATTTCTAACAAATATATTAGTGAAATCTACTTAAATAATCACAGGCAGTGAAAGAGGCTCTACCTTCATGTTTTCTTTAAGGAATCATTTAAAATGAGTTTCTTTTGACTCATACCCTTTGCCACAGTGGCCACATTTTAGCACATCCCCCCGAAAATGGGGGGTCTAGTTCAGTTGATATTTCTTTCAGTGTAGAGAAAAGGGTTTGCAGTCTGATATATATGCCATAGAACTCAGGAATCACAAGGAACCTTTCTTGGCAATCTTTATTTGTCCTTTAATAGGTATACAGTGTGGCCTTGCCTTACGAGTGTCCCGACTAACGAGTGTTTTGAGATACCAGCTGTCTCTCGGCCAATTTTTTGCATTGAGTTGATAGAGTAATTTGAGTTAAGAGCTCCTTAAGGAGCTCGGTCTCAGAATGAATTAAACTCCTCAGTCAAGGCCCCACTGTATTTATCCTTATTTGTCACATCTATAAAAATTTTAAATATAAACAAAGAAAATAAATTCAAGTAACTCCATAAACATTTGGCATTAAGATAAAGATAATTTAATGTGTTATTTTTTAAAATATATTTTATTGATTTTTTTACAGAGAAGAAGGGAGAGGGATAATTAGAAACATCGATGAGAGAGAAACATTGATCAGCTGCCTCCAGCACACCCACTACTGGGGATGTGCCCGAAAGCAAGGTACATGTCCTTGACCGGAATCGAACCTCGGACCCTTGAGTCCACTGGCTGACATTCTATCCACTGAGCCAACCCGGTTAGGGCTTAATGTGTTCTTAATGGGCTCTTAGCAAACTTCTTAGTATGATTTTCAGTCTTTTTGGCAAGACTATGTAATTTTAAAAATATCTATGCTTTAAAACATTCCCCTCAACTAAAAGTATTGAAATCAATACACAAAATAAAATATGAGAAATAGCAGTATTTACACATTTTATATGCTTTTAAAGCACTGTTTTAGATTACAACAAAAGTTAGAGGTAGGTAAAGACCACCCCCCCATACCCTCTGCCCCCACACATGCATAACTCCCTCATTATCAACATCGGCCACCAGAATGATGCTATTTTTACCAAGATGAACCTACATTGACATATCATAATTACCCAAAGCCCATAGTTTGCCTTAGGGGTTGTACATTCTATGGGCTTGGGCAAATGCAAAATTGCATCTATCCATCATCACAGTATCATACAGAGTATTTTCACTGCCGTAAAAATCCTCTGTGCTCTGCCTATGCACTCTGCCTGCACCCACTTCTATGAATGACTGATCTTTTCATTGTTTCCACCGTTGTGCCTTTTCCAGAATGTCTTGTAGTTGGAAACATATAGTATGTAGGCTTTTCAGATCGGCTTCTTTCACTTAGTAATATGCATTTAAGGTTTCTCCGTGTTCTTTCATAGCTCGATAGCTCATTTCTTTTTGTCTGGGTGTATCACAGTGTATGTTGCCACTCACCTACTGAAAACATCTTGGTTGCTTCCAAGTTTTGGCAGTCATGTATAAGCTGCTGTAGCTATCCATGTGCATAAGTTTTCAACTCCTTTTGGATAAATATCAATGAGCC